AGCAAGTCACAAAGTTCCATGAAAGTGCCCTTACGCATGCAAAAGTTTCGCAGCCACTGGGAATCGTCCCACACCTGCAACACTATGCGGTCCCACCAGTCTGTGCTTGTTTCCCGGGCCCAGAATCGGCGTTCCATGGCTAGCACCTGCCCCATTAACACCATGATCTCCAAAGTGCCAGGGCCCGCGGTTTGAGAGAATTCTGTGTCCATGTCCTCATCACTCTCATCACCGTGCTGCAGTCGCAGCCTCCTCCTCCCCTGGTTTTTCAGGTTCTGGTTCAGCATAAACTGCACGATAATGCGCAAGGTTTTTACAATGTTCATGACTGCTATCTTGAGCTGAGCGGGCTCCATGCTTGCCGTGGTATGGCGTCTGCAGTGTTCACCCAGGAAAAAAGGCGTGAAACGGTTGTCTGCCGTTGCTTTCATGGAGGGAGAGATGAGGCTGTACCCAGAACCACCAGCGACAATGTTTTTTGCCCCATCAGGCATTGGGATCTCAACCCAGAATTCCAATGGGCGGGGGAGACTGCAGGAACTATGGGATAGCTACCCACGGTGCAATGCTCCGGAAGTCGATGCTAGCCTTGGTACATGGACACACACCGCCGAATTAATGTGCTTAGTGTGCCTGCATGCACTCGACTTTATACAATCGGTTGCCAAAAATCGAATTCTATAAATTCGGAGTAATCCCGTAGTGTAGACATACCCATAGCCTTGAAAAAAGTTAAGGCTCAAACTGGCTCGCTTAGTGTGGCTCAGCTAGTTGAAACTTGGGGGGGGGGGAGTTGTCTACCATCCTGTGCATCAGAATCTAAGGTTTCATTTAAAAAAAAAATTCTCTATCAGAAAGACTGATCAGCTGAGGAATGATCATCAAAGGAAGATCTGCATAATGAACGGGTGTCTCATTTTTTCACCTGAAGTTTGCAGAGCTTGGTTTGTAGGCAAAGTATCTGAGAATGCCACTACTTTTCTTTTTCCAATTCAATCCCAACAAAAAGGTGGAGAAAGAAAGGCTATGGATAACTCACTCAAGTATGGTGGCCCAGGTAAAGTACCACCTAGCAATAGCTAGCACTGAACCACAGTGGTTCTACAAGCTAAGTTATCTCTCTCTGACACACACAGCTAAATACAATTAAAACACCTTAAAATTATTTACCAAAGGTTGCGTAAAGAGGAACATTTGATGTGGTCTGATTCAGGCACAAGCTTAATATTCCTACACCCGCCAAGTATGACAAGAAAGTAGAAACTGAAAAGGGAAGTGCAGAGTCAATAACTTATAACCTCGGGCTTTGAACATTCAGTACTACGAAGCACAGCCCACACTGCCTCCAACAGAAATAGCTGTAAGGATAGTCTAGAACCTTGCCAAGCAAGTGCCTGGGTTCCAAGTGAAGGAATACACAGAGACCCTCAAAGAAAAATTACTGTTTATTCATACCCAATGAGGAAGAGTTGTTGTAATAACAGCCTAATTGTAAGCTCATCTATAAACAATGAATGAAAGTTCATAAATTGTCACAATGTCCTGTTATATAAAATTGTTTAAGAAAGACTGAATTAATTTAAACAGAAAGGGCTTTACTGATCCCATTCAAGGACTGTGTTAAGAATATAACTGGTAAACCAGAGATGAAGAGGACCGGAAATGAATGAACCAAAAATTAATGTGTTGAAATTGGACCTATTGGTGGACAAAATAATGAGAAGATGGTCTATTCCACCCTACACTCCCTTACAAAGAAAATACTTTTTGGAAAAATTAGCAGAAGCAGCTGCTCTCTACTAACAACCATTGTAGTGAGCTTTATCATCATGGCTGCCACGCCTACTGTCTCCTGGGACCCCCAGAACTTCTTCATCCCGATCCTCAAAGATGTACTGACCAGACGGGGGCAGAGAGTGAGCCAGATAACATCGCTAGCTCCAGCTAAATCCCAAATATCATCTGGGATGTGAGACTTTGTCCCCCACAGATCCCCCCAATTAGGTCTCTCTCCTTTTTCCTTCCACCTAATAAAAGTCCGGTTTAGCTGACCAAGACTGCGTATTCTGCAATACTGCCGTGTGATCAGAGAGGCAGCTAAATGCAATGCCCTAAAACCCCAATGCTGGTACAAGTATGCCAGGTGTCAGGCCATGTCTACACTTACCATGGATAGATTTTGCTACGATCGCTGCAGTGGGGATCGATTTAGTGGGTCTAGTGAAGACCTAAATTCCCTCTAAGCCGTGCGGCTGCCTATTAGGCCCCAGGACTGCAGTAGGGAGAGAGGCCTCTCCCCCACCGCGGACCTGCCGTGGCCGGGGGAGAGGCACCCCTCCCCGCCAGCCCCAACACGGACCTGCCGTGGCCAGGGGAGAGGCACCCCTCCCCGCCGGCCCCAGGGTGGATCTGCCCCGGACTTGCCATGGCCGAGGGAGAGGAGCCCCTCCCTTGGCCCAGCCCAGGCACACCGGAGCTCGCAGCCAGGGAGAGGCACCTCTCCTCCTGCCCCAAGCTGCTGTGGAGAGAGAGGGCTGAGGAGAGTCCTTTTTCCCACCGCAGCCCCAGGGCAGCCCACACCCAAACCCCACACCCCCAGCCAGAGCCCTCACACCCCCCCTGCACCCCAACCCTCTGCCCCAGTCTTGAGCCCCCTCCTACACTCCGAACCCCTCGGCGCCACCCCCACCACATTAATTTTGTTATATGCACCAATATGAAGGTGATATGTCACATATCACCTCCATATTGATGCACACAACAAAATTCATTCCACACATGAACGTAAAAAACACTGGTCTACAATTTTTGAGAAAACAGCTGTTTTGCGGTGGCAAGCACTGAGAGCTAGGGGGAGAAGCGGGGAAGGCGCACTCAGGGGAGGAGGCGACCTGGAGCGGGGCGGGGAGCTGCCAGTGGGCTCCAGCCCCGGAGCACCCACGGAGTCGGCGCCTATGCTGTTAACTGGCAAAAACCCATCTACCGTGGACAGTTTACGTCAGTTCAAACCAATATAAGCTATACTAGTGTAATTGCGTCCATACTAGGGCTTATACTGACAGTAGCTGGCAAGATATGTTGGTAAAGTAGTCACACCTCTAAGTGACATGGCTATACCAATATAAAAGTGTAGACAAAGTCTAATTTTAAGTACATTAGTAGTCCTACTGACTTCAACTGGTACTATTCTGATGCTTAAAGTTAGGCTTAAGAACATGGGCTGAAAAACATTGCTTCATTTGAGCCAAGAATGGTCCCATTAAAATCAATGGCATATTCATGTGAGTAATCTGATTCATGGGCGTGAGACAAACAAACATTCTTGAGAATTCTTAAAACAAATTTAAATTGTATTCAAAAGACACAGTATACCTTTGTTTTAATAGCATCTCTCTTTGCTCCAAAAAGTTTACTGTGTTAGTGTGGACACACCATTAACGACATCATTTTAGTAATGAAACTGTTTTAGTGACAAAGATTGTATGAAGCAGCTAGTTGTCTCACTTGCCCATATAACAGGTTAGTGCGTCCACACAATATCACAGTTTGACAGAAACATTTAACTGAATCCACATACAGTGTGCCTTACAAAGTTGGATGCACCAGTACATTCTGGGACTCTTAAGGCACAGTATCTATCCCAGATTGCCCAGAATTTTTGCTGACAGCAGAATTTTTAGCCATTTTTCAGATGAAAGGTATTGCATTATGGTGTAAACTGAAAGAGAACCAGAAAGTAAAACTGACCAGTCTAGATGTAGATCTGCACAAATTCAACCACACATTGAAATAAAAATCTATATTTCCAGGCACTACAGGGCTCGTCTACGCAAGAAAGTTTACCTGCTTTAATTATATTAGTATAGTTACAGTAGGATAATTCCCCGCCACAACTGTGGATGCAGTTATTATACCAGTATAACTTATTTCCTTAGGCCTTGTCTACAGTGCCACTTTACAGCACTGAAACTTTCCCACTCAGGGGTGTGAAAAAAAATCCCATCCTGAGCGATGCAAGTTTCAGCACTGTAAAGTAGTAGTGTAGACAGTGCACCAGTAGCTACTCCCTTGGTTGGGGTGGCTTTTTTACGACTACACGGCGCTTTATCGCTGGTAGTGAAGACATACCCTCACAGAAACGGAAGTAAGCTATACCAGTATAACTAAACCCACATTAGGGACTGTACTTGTATAATGATATTAGTTTTTAAAAAAAAGTATCACAACCCAAAATGACAGTCACACCAGTACAAAATCTGTGTAAAGATCAGGCCACAAACAAATAGCTTAACCAAAATTTGTAAAATGCTTGCTGTGTTATGAGTGGATGCAAGGTGTACATACAGAAAGCATTCCAAGACTTTTGTAGACAAGTGAGGACAAGGCTATGAAAGTCAATCCATCACTAAATTTACGTTTGGTATTTTAAAACAAGGTTTTACAAGCCTAATGTTAACACAAGGGGTGTGTGTGGCTTTTAAAAATAGATACATTTAAAATGAAAAGTGGCTCTGAACATTCAACAGCGTTCACCACCCAGATGTCATGCCCGAGCACGGGAAGCAGAAAGAGAAGTGGGCTAGGAAGAGCCGTGATCGAGGCGAACCCAGTTTCATTTTCCAAGCGGAGTAGCCAGCCCCTAGACACAGCTGAGCGGGGCAGTTGGGTCAGGCTTCACTAACGGCGGCATTATCAGCCCGGCAGAAAGGGCCGCTGGCTAGTGCAGGGCATGGCCCTATGGGAAGGTCTCTTTAAATAGGGAATGACAGCACGGCCCGGAGCCAGGGCTGCCCAGCGCTATGGAGACCCGGGGGCGGAGGTCCAGTGGGTCTGGCAGCGCTGGGGACGAGTCACGGGGCCCGACCCCAGGGCGTCCCACCCCCGGGGCTCCACCTCTCCCCAGGAGGCCAGGAGCCGAGGCGGCCAGGAGGCAGGGCAGGGCCCGGCTGAGGACGGAGGACAGGCCGCTGCCAGCCGCTCTCCCCCTTCAGGCTCCTCACCTGAGAGTCGCCGCCGCCTCCCACCCCCGGGGCAGCTCCCAACGCATCCTGTGGGGGTTGGGGGCCCGGTAGAGTTAGCAGCAGCCCCTCGCTTTGCTCCTCCACGGACGGCTGCGTCCCACCCTGGGCCCGGCACGGGCTCAGTCACCTCAGGGGAGCTCGCCGGTCGCCATTACCGGCCAACGACTGACACGGAGCAGCGGCGGCAGCGGCGCGGGGCAGGGCGGGAACAGCCGGCCACGCCTCGCGAGAACGGCCTAATATCTGACCTTCCAAACATGGCGGCACCCCTAAGAATTCCTGCCCCAAACTATACTTCGGCCATATTGGGTGTGGCACAGCTTCCTGCATACATCAGGGTGCACCTGCCTCAGCTGCGATGTAATACTCGGGCACTGGCACCTCAGCTTTAGATCTGACAGAAGGCAGGGCTACCCTTTGGAGGGACAACAGCTGAGCAGTGAAGGAGAGGAAAGATTCCCCACAAAACGTGCTCCAAGAGTAGCAATGGTTTGAATAGAACCTCAGCACCTGAAACCAAATATTTCTCCTGCCGTTTGTAAGGAATGTAGGGCTAGGGAGCACCCCTACAGCTAAGGTTTGAGACACAGAGTTTAAGACCTGGAGGACATCCATTGCAGAGTTGGAGTGGTGTGTATCTTAACCCTGGAATGGCTGGTTTTCAGGAGTTTAAGTTTAGATGTATTCAGTGTTTTGGAACGAGACACTATGTTAAGGAAGTTTTGGGGTAGTGAATCCAAAAGTAGCTCCACAAAAGTAGTGTAGGCTCCTAACCTCCATTAAAATCAATGAAAAGGGCCTTACCAAATTCACAATCCATTTTGTTCAATTTCACAGTCTTCACATTTTAAAATCTGAAATGTCATGGTGTTGTAACTGTAGGGGTCCTGACCCAAACAGCAGTTGTGTGGTGGGGGCAGGGGGGGTGATGTCACGGTATTGCCACCCTTATTTCTGTGGTAATGCTGGCGGGATGCTGTCTTCAGAGCTGAACAGCTGCTACTCTCCAGCCACCCAGCTCTGAAGGTAGCACAGAAGTAAGGGTAGCAATATTGTGACCCCCTACAATAACCTTGCAACCCCCCCTCCCCCACAGCCCACTTTTGGGTGAGCATCCCCACTTTGAGAAATGCTGGTCTCCCACGTGAAATCATGGTCTTTTGTGTACTTTTACCCTGTACTCAGAGGTGAAAGTAAGCCGGTATGGTCTGGTACGGCGTACCAGCAAGAGCCAGTACGCCGTGCCGGACTGGACCGGCTTCCGCAGCAGTGATTTAAAGGGCCCAGGGCTCCAGCCGCTGTGGGGAGCCCCGGGCCCTTTAAATCCCCACCGGAGCTCCGGCAGCCAGGCTCGGGCAGGGATTTAAAGGGCCCAGTGCTCCTGTCGCCTCTGCAGCTGGTAGCTCCAGGGTGATTTAAAGGCCCTGGGGCTCCCAGCCACAGCCGGAGCCCCAGGGCCTTTAAATCTTGAAAGGCCCCGGCTCTTCTGGTTGAGGCCCCGCCCCCGCTCAGGACTCTGACGTACCGGTAAGTCCTTTAAGTTACTTTCACCCCTGCCTGTACTATACAGATTTCACAGGGAAGACCAGATTTCACCATCCATGACATGTTTTTCACAGCAGGGCCCTATCAATGAATCTGAGCTACACCACCACTTAAATGCAGCCAACACTGTTGTGTAAGGGCAGCAGCTCACCCCTAGCACAACTCAAATGGGAGGACTGCAACCAATGGCATCAGAGGTAACACTCCTGCTCTTACACAAATCTTGATGGGGTCTTTGGGTGGTATAGGGCTAGTCAGTTTTTCAAATAAGGACATTATTTTAGATCTATTACCCTAAACCTGTTTCCCCCCTCCCACTATGATTTACTCTTTTAAAAAAATGGAACAAAATATTTAGCATTATTCCCCATGGTTTTATTTCCCCCTTTTTCCTCTTCCCTTTTCAGTGCAAAAATCAAACTAAGGAAGAAACCAGGAAAAATCAAAAAATTAAAAATTTAAAAAACTAAGTTATTAAAATATTTTCCATTTCAAAAGTGATGTGCAATTTTTTGAATGAGTGAAAATTTGTTTTCAAAACCCACAGAACAGAAGTTACTTCAAAATTTAGTTTATAATTTCTCCACCACTTTTTCACCAGCTCTAGTTTTTACATAAATGGTTATCAGAGTGAAAGAACAATTTGCTCTGTAAAGGCCCATCCAAATGTTATACAGACAGAATCTGAGCTACACCACCACTTAAATGCAGCCAACATCTATTTGGCCTGAAACTCAATCTATTTCTGACGCCTGAATAAATGGTGCAGGGTTAATAAACCTGGGGTTGCAGGAAGTCTACATATGCCAAATCTTTGAACCTGCCTCCTTACTTCAGAACAGGGAGTTATTTTTCCAACTTTTGTATCTACTAAAAAAAAAAAAATCATTCTTATAAGAACCACTCATTTAAAAAAAGACTAATTAAAGTGACTGTCTCACTGAGACCCAGAACATAAGGTTTAGGCAAATAACAGGAAAAAATGTATAAAAGTATGAGTACAGATGTTTACACATTTTTTTAAAAATTTCAATTAAATTTGTTTAAAGAAATTTAAAGTTAATTCTAAGTGAAAAATGTACCAAACAAGCAGCTTAAATAAATACAATGAAAACTGAAGTTTATTAAAAGTGAAATAACTTAAGTTCCATTAAAAATGCAGGGAAGGGGAAATGTTTAGGATATCATTTTTATAATACCTCTAATACTTCTGTACCTTGCAGGATTTTTCTCCCCCTCTTCATAGGTACATTATAAAAAGAGAACTGTATTTTAAAAGCAGGCATGTGATGTCATGCAGCTATAGAATCATAGAAATGTAGGGCTGGAAGGGACCTCAAGTGGTCATCTAGTCCAGCCCCCTGTCCCAAGGCAACACAGATAAGTATTACAGGAACAGTCACTTTCTTCTAACATTGAAGAAGGAAAGTCATTAGAAAAGGAAAAACAGCATTATTCCTAAAGAGCCAATTGTATATGTACATGCATGTGGGCACATGCCTGCTTCATTTATGGGCTTCTACCTACAACTTTATCCACTTCCATCATGCTACTTGCTTAAAGAAACAGTATGTCACCTAATTTGAAAAATGAGACCTCCTCATTTCAAATCCATTCTTGATCAACATAGAGGCAGAAATCTCAGAAGAGTTTTACTTTCAGTTTTAAAAAGTTAATAGTATACTATTCAGCATAATCTCATGTGTAACTCCAATAGGTATTTTTATTGCTTGACACATCAGGACCAAGGTGCATGAGTCCAAAGTTTTTTGCTTTGTTACGCATCCTTGATTCTCAGAATAAATTATAGTCATCATGCGGATGCTAATCTTTTCAGGGGTTGTGTGTGTGTGTGGGAGGGGGGGTGTTTTTAGTTCACCAGAATATTTTAACATGGGCAAAACATTTTTCCCTAGCCTCACTCTGAGATGCAACTGAACCATATTGGCTGAAATTTTCCAAACAAATTCAGCCCACTACCGAGAACCAGCATGGAATATTTCAGCCCAAACAGCTGATGTTTAGCAAAGTTATAAGTAACTGGAATCCAAGGTCTTATAAGATGACGTGTTGGGCAACCTTAATAGGCAGTGACACAAGCCCTGCCTCTAATAATACATGCAAAAGACCCCCAACATTATGTTAAAAGAACATTAAGGTTGCAAAGCCAAGCACTCAGTACTTTGAAAGTGTAAGAATTAAAGGCTGCCCATTCAACATTCTGTTCCCTCCTGCATACGTAGTATGATAGTCTTTAATTACATGATTGTGTACTGTATTTTCCATATGACCCTGCCTCATTCAGTGCATAGCATGGGCCTCAGGGTGTTTGAAATGTTCACACCAACTGACATCTCTATCTTAAAATTTAAAAGATTTTAAAATTATATGTATCTGTTTTGCCAGAGGAGAAAAAAATCCCTGCCAACAAAGACAAAACAGATATCTCTAGTGGGGAAAAGGAGCACGATCAGTGATTAATTCCCTCCTGACTCCTGAGAAAGGTAGCCCAAGCACCAAAGTGACTATTATTTGTATTACCAAAGTGCTAAACAGCTCTAGCCATAGACCAAGACCTCTTAACTCATATTATATCCCATATAGTTACCTACTGTTTGCTTAAATCTATTGCTTAATAGTACTTGACTGGCAGATCTCTTCACCTATTCATCACTTTCTGTAACATATTGCCTCAAATTGTCTTTGAACTTAGCATTTTATTTTACTTATTAGCAGTTAATTTAGTTCCTCACTCTTCCCTCGTTCTCCAGACAAATAGGGTGCATTAGAATTTACATTGAATATGAAAATCACTAAATTTAGCTTCTTTATTTTCAGTCATTATAGAAAATTAAAAAGCAAGATCCCCCCTGCCCCAGCTTCCACATTATTCCCACATTCTCAAAATGTCAGGACTTTTCTATGTAACAATGGAATTCAATTATAACTCTTGCACGAAATCTTAAATCAAATGATCAAAGGATATAATGCTTCCAGAGTCAGCTTTCATGTAAAAATATAAATAATCTGAGACAGCATAATAGCTGATAAATTAAGGAAATTTAAATTCTCTTGTGAAAATTAAGCTCTTTTCAATTAAATTTGCTAAAATTATTAGCCTTTTAGAGACAAAGTAAATCCTTTACCTGGAAACAGCCATGGCTAACAGAGAAAGGAAGAAACAAGTGCACTCAATTCCAATACAGCTTTGATGAACTGGTAACAGAACTAGGCAGCATTATTGAATATATTGCAGCAGTGCAGCCCAAGCGCTAGAAAGCAGTGGCCGGGAGAGGAGGACTAAACATAAAGCAGCACCATCTCATTTTACACTGTGCTGACTATTGCAGCTTTTAACACCCAGGCTGTGGAAAGTTTTCCACTCCATAGTACCCTTGCACACCCCTTCTAAAAATAGAGAGGGGCAGCTGGCTATTGTGCCTGAAAGAAGACCCAGTAGATTTCCCCCCCGCTCCCCCTTTCTTTGACTGACATGCTTCCTTAAAGTCATCCAGGAATTTTGGAAAGGGTTCTCTCCACCTGTTGAACATGGACTGGGTTGTGCAAGCATTCAATTATAAATCCAGCTGCCAAAACCCAACAGTAAAAACAGGGCACAAGACAACTGTGAAATGGTGCAAAACTAGTTGCAGGAAAATATGGTACATACAATGTTTATATTAGAATCTTAAAAGGTGAACTGGAAAATTTATATAAAGAAAATGAAAATTTCCTGTGTATGATCTGGGCTCATAAAACAAAGTAGGAACAGCTGTACTGTAGGGTATTTAGATGTTAGCTCCCCGTTTGTATTAAATATTGCGCACACTGATCATCATACAAAATAGAGCTTCCCAGTCATCTACACAGCTTGGTACAAAATTTGATTACATGTTTGTGTGTGCATGTACCAAGAGCAGGCTCTCTTTTCTGTATGTAGTACACTGCCAATTAACCATGTCCCAGATGGTGTACAACAACAATGTATAAAAAGCAGTGTATTTACGAATTATAACATTTACCTATATATCTATCTCAACATGTATGCACATCTGCACTTGTGTACTGAATTGAGAATCTACCCAAGTACCTGCCTGTCAACACACAGAAAGTTAAAGTAAGGATTCCATATTCCCGGATATACACATTTTTATTTTGGGAAAAAATGTGGGGAAAAAATCAGCCCTTTTTACTAACCTGCAAAGCAAATTCAAGATTCTTCTGTGCCCATTGTAGCAGCAGAGAACATTACTGACAACTCAGTCAGAGCAGGATGTGAAAGACAAAGCGTATTGATTGGTTGTGCAATGTTTTAGGCGCTTGTGATGTCATAAACCGCTGAAGGGGAGAGCTGTATTCTCAAACTCAGGGCTAGCAGGTGGGACAAGCAGGAACTGCTGCAGAGCCCCCTGCTGGGAGGACGGGGCCACCACTGCGAGGAGACACGGGATCAGGAGGGCAGGATCCATCACTGTCACCATACAGCTCCAGTCATCTGCCCAGAGCGAGAGGAATGGTTTGAACTATCCCTACTGAGGAAAGGAACTCAGGCAAGGTCCCAGGTCAAGAAGTTCAGGGATGGGTAACTGGAAGTGGTAGCTAACCACCCTGGATGAAATGGTGGAGAGAGCAACAAACAGGGGAGATGGGTTGGAGTCTCTTCTGTTGATGCGCTACACTGAACAATTTACTATGAACGGCCAGTATTACATGTATTTCACCTTTAGGCACCACACACTGACTTGCCCATGTTTCTTGTTCTCATAATGCTACACTCTTTTCCTTTCCTAGTACTTTTATCTGCAATACTGCACTTTAGACATGGAAAGCCATCGATCTTCAGTTCAGTCATTGGGTATGTTTTCAGTCTATGTTTGAGTTTGCAGCTTCTTACCGTGTATACTGTACTCTTTAGAGGGGTTTTGTTCATCACTATTAAAAACAAATCAATTGCCCTGATTATTTGTCTGTAACATAGGTAACTATGTTCCCTCTAAGTTTAGACTATGGTTCCTCTCTTTCAGAGTTTTTGCCCTGATATAACTGACTTGTTTTCCTCCTGACTGACTCCACTGGACCTTGGCTGCTAATAGCCACAGTATTTACACAGTACTTTATGCTACTTTAATTGGTTCAGCTCCCCTTCATTTTCACTTGCAAACACTAAAGATGATGTCCCAACCGCCACCCAGAATCTCCAACCAAAGCTTAAAACACGACTCCAGCATATGCCTGCAGAACACAAAGTAGCACTTCATTTTTTTATCAGCCACAGGTGAATTACACTTTTCCTTGCTCTAGCTGCTGCGAGCACACTAACTCATTTCCATGGGTTGGGTTCACTGGTCTGTGACAGCTAGATCCAACTCAGCTTCACCCTCCAGTGAGGAGATTGCTCTAGAAGCCAAGGTGCTGTGGAGTGGTTGGAAAAGACTTTCAATAGCAGGAGTGACATTGTAATGGAAAGGGAAGCCTGAAGAGGACAATGGTCAGCAGCCACCATGTGAAGGGTGTATACAGCCCTCACTTCACCTGACTGATGAGGTGGTATACAAACAGTCAAATGTGGGCCAGGTTATAGCTTTTCTCTTTTAAATTTATTTCTCCACCCTGAGATAAGTGCTGCAATCTACATCTGGAACTATATTCCATTTTACATACATGTAACATGATGCTGCTTTATCCCAGCTAGCCAAAGAATATCGGATATTCCTTTACATCTTCAGTGGGGAGTAAAAGAGAGGCATGTACTAAACAAGGTCTCATTTTACCTTTTCAGGCAGAAAAAAAATTGCTCTTCTAAACACTCAGCCCTTCAAAATCAGCTCCCTTCTGAGGGAACTGGGTGGCTCAAGTAATTATTGGTAGAGGAACATGGAGCCTTTCATCTCCAAGTCATAAACTGAAGCCTGCTCTGTACTGGTTGTGATCGTGAGATTATTTTAACAGCTGCTCAGTGGCCTGTTAGGACTAGTATTCCTGGTCCAACACTCTCAGTCTCCTAGATGCAGTCTCACAGAGGAAAGGAGACTACGCTACCTAAGGGTGTTTTCTCCAGTGCATGGTTGGGGCACCTTAGAATAGTGTAGAGAAACCTGCACTTCTGAGGTCTGTGCTGTAACTGTTCTGTGATACAATAGAGAACCTCCACCTCCAGGGCTGTCACTGACACTTCACAAGCATCAAATGTACATGAAGTAAGAAGAAAAAAGTATAATTGCCGGGTGGAGTGAAGTTTAATGAATTAATGCTTGTAAAGCATGTTGATATCCTCCAGTGACATGTCCTATAAATGCCAAGCATTATTCTGTTTTCTAGCTCTTGGGCCTGTGTGGAAATACTTAGATAGGTAAGAAATCACCTGTGAATTACTTCCATCATACCAATTACTAAAAAGACTGGAAACTGAAGTGCAGCCTGCAAGGTGGCAGAGTAGAGACTGCATCATTCTTCCCTCAATCTTGAAAAACTAACTGCAATTACAGGTGCCTTCTACATTAAAAGCAGGTAACAACTTCTTGTTTTCAGCCTGAATGCAAACTGTCTGGGTGAGGTGAAAAGGACAGCTGACAAGGTTAAAAATCTCAGACAAACGTATTTACAACCCAGAATAAGTATGTCCGATTCAGAGTCCCTAGTAAGAAATGATGCAAGAACACCAGATAAGAGGAAGTTCCCAGCTACATTCCCAATCTACAATGTGATGCGGCTTTCTCCCAGCTAGCCAAAGATTATTTTCATGAAGTTTATGTAACAGCGCAGGGAGGGGGGTGTCTCCGTAGACCAGCCTCCGCCTCTCCAAACAGCTCTGTCTGGACTTACGTATAATTCAAGGATCTTGGCCAAAGTTGTCAAGTTTAGGTGCCCCAAATCAGGCACCTAAGTCTACATTCAAGTACCTAAATCAAAGTGGACTGATTTTCAGAGGTAACTACAGTTGAAAATGCTGGCCTGTAAAAAAAAAAAAGTTGACCACATCTTAAAATTCTATCAGCAGTCTTAGAACAGGTTATAAAACAAATAGGTAAATTTATTTCTAATGGTTACTAAAATAGTTTCTTTAAATTATTTACAAATCATCACTGGTCATTTCCAACCGATAAACTAACATACGATTTTAAAAAACACTTGTCCAGTGAAGTGTTTTAACATTTAAATCTCTTTTCTTCATGAGCAGGTCTTACACACATAAAATGGCAGCACTTCCATGTCTCTTTGCTGTATAAATACCTCTACATAAAACAAATTAGTGGTCAGTTTCCAGTTCTCAAAGAAGAAGGGCCAAATCCACCACTGGCATAAGTGGTCACAGCTCCAAGTCTATGGAGTTTTCTTGCACCGGTCATTAATCCAGCTCATTTCAGATCGCAAACCAGTGTGTTTTCTGGTAGTCTTAGCATGGGGACTTAGCTGCCCTTTCACCCTCTACAGATAAGTCCCTTTTAAGGACTTTTGTAGCAAGGCAAAGGAAAGATTGAGTAATGGATGTGTTAGAGTGCCATCAATCTGACAGCTATTATAAGAAAATGTATCTTAAACATGAGCAGTTTCCTTCAAATCCAAGAAAATTGAATGGATCTGGAGCAAGAGACATCCAAGGTGAGATACTAGGCAGTAGAGAGGCATGAAAGTATGACAATTCTTCTGTGGGTATAGAAATACATACATGATTTTTAATCGGTGGTAAATTTTAGGGATTTTTGGCATGAGCCACTCAATAAAATATGTTCAACACATGCATATGAAGTCTGTTTTTCTTAAAATTTACATAGGAAGCAGCAGGTTTTATGCAGACACACTGGGGAGTCATTTGGGACAAGGCTTACAACAGTAATAAACAAATCCTCTTGATGTAAAAATACTCTTTTCGAATAAAACCTTTGGACCTAGCCAAAATAATCTGTTCAGACTGTACACATCTTAGGCCTTTGAGAAGGGTGTGGTGAGGCTTTTTTAGCATACACTGGAACAGCATTTAACATTTCCTCCTTGAGATTTGTATGTCTTAAAACTGGATGCAGAACAGAGGATTCCTGGGTGCTCTGGGGAGCAGATGCACTAAGGGGTTATTTTGTTAACTGACGTGTTAACAACATCCGGAGCAATCACTTGCACTTCGTTCATCCCAGCCTCCAAAGTTGGGGGGAGCGGGGGGAGGAAGGAGGCGAGAGGGGGCACCAGGCTCTTCTAAACAGAACAAAAACAGCTTTGAGAAGTCTCTCCTGAACCAGAACATCTTCTATACAATTCAGCCAGTCTAGGAAACATGCAGAGGCAACTTATACCCAAGGCCATGGTCAGCTGCAGAAAGAAAGCCGATGGTTGGATGCATGTAGCCCCATCTCTACTACCAATTAATAAAATTAAGCCTCTGAGAATAGAGGGGAATGTTATTCTGGTAGATTGTAAGTAGGTAGAGGAGACAGGAGAGAAGTCTGTAGAATCCGCTAGATCCCATTATCTTGCCATACCCAATGGCAGTACTACCTTCTGCTGAAACTTTTCCAGCAGTGAGACACTTGTCTACTGCACACAAGAATAGCTTTACACACAGAGGGATGGCTCTACAATGGGGGCAAGACAATTTCTACCTACAGATCACTAGGCCCAATGAGTTACTGAGGAGGGACCAACCTAACAGCTGTGCTCCATACTTACACTCTCCAATTGTCTAGAGAGAACTCCAGTTCTTTTAAATGGAACAACCCTACCAGTCCTTGCTCTGCATAGAGAATATTGTGTGCTGCCTCAGCTCAGCAGTTAAGTTCTGCACTGCCCAGATACCACAACACTGTTTTCCTATCCTCCCATGTCTTATATTTAATCCATCTGTAAGCAGCCCTCCTTAGGAAGAGCATTTTCAGGCCAAACAGGCAGGACCAGGTGAGATATGCGGCTCCACAGTCCACTCAGCTTATCTGTGTCCATGTGATTATAGGAGCTGGGAGTGTCTGAATTGGTGAATTTGGCCCAGAGAAAATCCCGCACTTTCTCCTCAACATCCAGCAGCCTGAGGTTCTTTCTCAGGGACTTCTCATCCAGAAGGACAGTTAGCAGAAGAGTTACATCCTTAAATGCTGCATTTTCATGGTCACAGTACTTGTAGAAGATCAAAGTGGAGCCTGCAGGCAGAGACTCAAATCGATGCACCACAGCTGCTTTTTTACCTTCCTTGAACCCAGAGCTTAGCTTATTATCTACCTCCAGCTTGACGACGTCGCTATCCAGCGTGGCTTTTCCAGCCCCATCAATCTTGATTGTGGCAGCACTCAGGGAGGAGGAATAAGCTTCAGCAATCTGGTTACTTAAGCACTTTAGAGACTTTTCAGCTTCTTGAGCAGCTGTGAGCAGTAAGATGGCAGGCTGCGAGTGGGGATGGGTGGTATTGAGTCGTTTCACAAGGAACATTTGGATTCTCTCCCACAGTCTTGGATCCTGATTTGGATAGACATTCCTAAGTTTCTTCATCTGGGTCTCAAATGCTTGCACAACTTTGATTTCTTCCCTCGGCAAAGTCTTAGAGGATTGATTCTTCCAGACATGCCATACAACAGTAACGGAAGCTACTGCTAATACCAAAATGCACATCCTAAACCATCCTGCACTGGACTGTCCAACAGGCTCTGCACAAAAGAGAATGGGGGGAGAGGGGGTGGATGTTAAAAATAAGCAAATGCTTTTGTCATGCTCAATGAGGAATCAATTAGTATGGATGAGTGAACAGTGACATTTGAAAAGACCCATTTTCCTATCCCATAAACAACTGAACACCACAAGATAATGGAGACACCCTGGAGTGAGAAAGAAGGACTTAACTTCCTGGAGGAAAAACTACAGGGTAATGCAAGACATCGGGTAAATTTTTCAAAAGTACCTAAACAACTTAAACACACAAGTCACAGTTTGAAAATGGGACTTAAGCATTTTTGAAAATTTTGCTCACTCACATTCTAACCATTATATCTAATCAAAGAAGAATAAATTATTAAAAACACAGTAAAAATGTATCTTAAAGAGGCAGGTCAAACCTGGCCTGATATTTAAGTTTTGTAAGAATAATCTTCTACAAAATCTGAAGGCAACAGAAAGGAAAAAAGTAAAGCCATAGAAACCAATCTCAAAGGCATTTTTAAACAAAATGAACATTCTTCGCCATTGTTTGCAACTCAAACATTACTGCATTGTGCTAGTGCCGGGGTTCTCAAACTAGAGGTCGCAAGGTTATTATGTGGGGGTTGCAAGTACATGCCTCCCAGCTAGCTACCAAGTCTGCTGTGAAGTCTGCGCTAGTAAGTCTGCTGTGAAAAGTGATATTAAACATACAAATATCACTTTAAAATAGTGTTAAATATAAAAAATGTGGTTTTAATTTATAAGGGGGTGACGGGTCGCACTCAGAGGCTTGCTATGTGAAAGGGGTCACCAATACAAAAAGTTTGAGAATCAGTGTGCTAGTGCATAAGAACCCAGAAGTGAAATGGTCTCATCCATTCATTTAGAGAACGCAAAAAGTAAAAGCAGAGGATGAAGAGGACACAGGAAATGCATCTTACCATTGAAATGCATGGGAAATCAGACATTTGAAGATGGATTACAAGTTTGTTTTTTAAATGTTAATTTAACAATGATTGAACTATTAACCAGGGTTATTGTTAACATTAAAAAAGCTTGTATCATGTTTTTAAAAATCTTCTCCTCCTCCCTGAATCCTACAGGGTCTGAGTCTACTTTCAATGAAGTCACTAATAAAACTCCCATTGACTTCTTTGTAAGCAGGATCAGACCCATATCAAGGAGATGCATTTCTTGGATCCTAAATATATCGGAAGACAGGATGACAAAAGTTTTCTGTAGATTACTACAACTGAATTTGAAGCATCTAATTTAAAAAACAATGGAACACAGAACTATCACTATGTGTGCCCCAAATTTAATCTCATATTGATGCCAGAGTTTATTAAAGGAGTAGAGGGCAGACCAGGTGGAAATCAGAGATTAGACGAGAGGCCTCTTGAGTTATCTTTCCCTCAGTGCTGAAAATATGTCTCCTGATAAGCAGGATGTGTAATGCAGGTCTGTTCTAGCAGGACCCACTATATAGCACCAGGTTAAAGGCCTTGAATACAAGGATGGGCACGAAAATGGTTAAATGCTATACATACATTAAACAGATCTGAAAGCATAAATCTTACTTTTGGCTGCAGGCTGTGAATGCTTCTTCAGTGTATTGGGTTGAACTTGAGATTCAGCTTCATCTGTTGGAGTGATTGGAGGGAAGGGGAGTTAAGATGACAGAATCCTGATCCATTTATCTAGTTATCAATGGAAGGGGTGAGAAATCATATGAAAACTGATTTTAGCTCTAAACTCAGTCTAGCTTCTGCTTTTTGTAGATGAATTCTACAGTAAAACAGGCAGAAAGATTAAAGGTTAAATGACCTGACCTCATTGAGAACACTGCTTAGCCAGCATTGTTTCACTAACAGAAGTGAGGAAGGGACTATGAACTCAGCAGTCCTAGCTGCTACTTTAACAAATAATCAGCTGGAAAGGATTTCATTTCAGGTTTGCATCAAAGAGTTCAAAGCCAGCCCTGTCCCATCTCCAGAGACAAATACAATGGCATGTTCACAACTGTTTCAGGCCAGCAAACTGATCTCTTTCAACTGGCAGACCAGCTTCAGTTTCCCATCCACACTCCTCACAGGTCCCTTTTTCAGAAAAGCACAAATAACCAAACATGCTTATGTAGCGCTAACAAACTCCTCAAATGCTGAACCACCAAAAGAAAATAGCAATCAATCTATACATAGGTAAACGAGAGGCAGAGTTTTATCCACATACTTGATTTCCTGAATGTCGTCTTCTGGTTAAACACTGGTTGTTTTTGTACAACTGTTGGGGGATCTGGAACATAGTAACAGAAGAAACATATGCATAATTTAAAGCAATACCGTTACCATATTAGATTCAAGAAACAGAAGAAAAGTAGTTTTGTCAAGCACAATCTCAGTCCTCAAAGTTACTTCTGCCCACCAATGTGCTGTGTAACACCATCAGAAAACTGGACCAGATAGTGCTTTATAACCCAAAATGCAAGCTTTTATATGAAAGTGAGCCTTGGGAGTATTCATGTAAAAAATATGAGACAGTAAAAGATACTAAACAATAACTCCTGAAAAGGACAGTGTAAACTGCATTCCATCAGCATGTATGAATGTGCACACCATGCAGTTATCTGTTGTTATGGTTTCAGTGAGGGTACATGTAATGTTTACTCACATGGTACAAAACCACCTACATTTATGTCTCCTTGAGTCAAATAAATCCTGTGTAATCACAGCAATTGCCTCAAAGATGAAAGATCTCATATACAGATAGGTATATAGATGCATAGTCACAGATGGAGAGAGAGTGGAGGACACTAGCAGAAACAGGCAAGCAGAATCTGAGCAAGGAAGATGAATGGGTAATGGAAGGGTAGCCCAGAATCCCAGGAGATAACCTATAACTATTGACCCTGATCAGAGGTTTATGAGAACGAACACTCAGAAGTGAACATATGGGACATGAATGCTATGAATCATGTCTAATACTTCAACACACAGCGTTTGCTCAGCTGCAGCCACACATGCCCATCACATTGGGCAGTGTCCTCATTGGTGGCTGCTCATTGTTTGAAATTCAGCATAGGATTACATTCAAATCACAGAAGCAGCACCACAATAAAATGAACAGAGATCATAAATTTAACAGACACTGACCAATTTGGAGACAAATCAGTCATGGACATAGTACTTCCAAACTGCTACTCAAAGGGCAGCTTGGCATTTGGGATGCAGGGGGAGATTTAAAACAGTCACTTCTTTCTAATGCAGCCTGTCCCTATCTACACTCTTAGGGTATGTCTTCACTACCTGCTGTATCGGCGGGTAGCAATTGATTTATCCGGGATCGATATATCGCGTCTCGTTAAGACGCGATATATCGATCCCCGAACGTGCTCACCGTCGACTCTGGAACTCCACCAGAGCGAGCGGCGGTAGCGCAGTCGACGGGGGAGCCGCGGCCGTTGATCCCACACCGTGTGGACCCCAGGTAATTTGATCCAAGATACTTCGACTTCAGCTACGCTATTTGCGTAGCTGAATTGCGTATCTTGGATCGATCCCCCCCCCTAGTGTAGACCAGCCCTTAGCTGTCTTTATTTCCTAGTCTTTGAATTCAGTCACTGGAGTTCTAAGCAGAGGATGGAAAGTTATAACTAAAGTGAAATTAATTCTCATGAGAGGCACCACCAGACTAATGCCTTTTGGAACCAAAACCACTTGTTTAATAACAACAAGGGCAGCCACCTCACCATGCACCTGAAGTCTGAGAGGCAAGGGTGCTAAAGCATATCGACTGTGTAGGTGCTATACACCACCTCCTTGAATCTGAACGAAGGCCAGCACAGCTCTGCTTTTGCATGCACCTCCTCTCTCATCTCCCAAGTCCAGTTCATCTCCGTGCTTTGTCAGGTTGGTGCACCTGGCTGCTCCCCTGGTCTTCTCCCATAAGCAAGTATAGCAAGTTGATTCGATTTTGACCTGACTGGATTCATACCATAATCTATTACCAGTCTTCAATCACCCAGTCCTCCACCAGGGTATCTATTCATACACTTTAGTATCAGTTGTAGAAACTGCAAATCAATTTATCTTAAATCATGTCTTAAAGGGGCCCTCAACTTTAAAAAACCCACTTCTGTCTAAAAGTCTTTTCATACTGTTACAAGTCACATCTAAGATAACTATAACTGAGAAAGAGTAGAGGAAAAAATTCTCTTTCATCACTTTATTTGCACTTGGTATAGTCAGTTTCCATTGCCGGAGTCATTGGGAGCTTTCAGTAACTCAGCTCTTCTAGAAAAAAAAATAAGGCCACTTAATTAAGCGGCTATGGCCCCACTCCTGGAAACACATATGAGTAAAGTTACTCACATGAGTCTCATCAAGCATGTATCTTAAGTGTTTGCAGGACCAGGGCCTATATGTGCACTTAAATTTAGGATTTCACTTTTGAGCATTTTGGCCTAACACAACAGTATAGTGATAATTTAATAAATAAATAAATCAATCCACAAAAATTGTCAAGGAGCTTTTTTCAACTGACTAGGTTTCAAATTAACAATACTCCTTTAATAACATTAGGAGAACTTCAACATTATTATATTTAAATGATTTATAGTAGATTTCTCATGTTTAAACAGGATTTAAGCAGACTAGAAAATGAATTTTGGCTACTATGTTGTGTCACATGTTTGTTACTTTTCAGCAAGATGACAACCTCCAGCAAGAGATGGCAAATGTCCATCATCAGAAGCCCAGGACACCACAGACCAGGGCACACCAACTCAAAGCAGCACCAGACCCAGCCAGAACAACAGACGCAAAACCTGCAGACATATCTCCACTAATACAATGATCAACACCACCACCACCACACAAAACACCCTTCAAGATCCATGGGTCCTACTCATCCAGTGCATTAAATGCCTCAACAACTATGTGGTGAAACCAGTAATTAAGCTCTCAAATGAACTCCCACAGGAAAAAGACAAAAATACCAGATCACCTGTTGGCAAACACTTTTCACAAAGCGATCACTCTATATCTGACCTATCAGTCCTCATCCTCAAAGGAAACCTGCACAACACTGTCAAAAGATGAGCCTGGGAGCTTAAATTCATAACTTTGCTAGACACTAAAAATCATGGTCTTAATAAAAAGACACTAATTTATGTCTTATTACAACAATCTGTAACCCACTAACCCCCTTTTAGTCCTATGACTTCAGGGGTGTTATTAGCCCACTTCACCTTGAATGGTCCCTTACAATATATCATAAGTAGTTAGCATAAACTATCTGTTCAATCTTTCATTTAGCTGTGACACTCTTAGTACCTTCCCCACAGCTGAAGAAGAGCTCTATGTAGCTTGAAAGCCTCTTTCTCTCTCTCTCTCTCTCTCACCAAGAACTTGGTCCAATAAAAGATGTTACCTCACCCACTTTGTCTCAACTGTATAAATATTTCATACATATCAAACAGTGGTTCTCTCTGCCCAAATTTTCAGAATGCTACACTGAACTACAAAACTGTACTGCCATGTATACAGTACTGTACTGTAATGATATCTTGTTATGTTTTGCTTTGTTCTGGCCCAAAGTTTACAAGTTTAAAAAACTGAACTGATAATCATTGGAGACAAACCCTTTGACAGAAGAAGGGACGACTGCAAAACATCACTTCCATTATCTCTTGGTGGTTGATACACATTAGTCTTCTTATAATTTTCTCCATCATTTTCAGATTCATTGTCATCACTGTAGCCATCAGCATCCTCTTCGTCTTCCTCCTCTTCCTCCCCATCATCTGCAAAGACAACAGGTTATATAAAGATTAAGAACTGCTTGCCACACAACTCAAAGGCTATTATATATAGCCACAGCACTACCTGTATGCATGACATTTCACAGAATAAAAGGACAGGTCCCTGTCTCAAGAAGTTTATGGCCTACACTAACCATGGGACACCAAAAGTTGAAGTCTACAACAGGAAAAGTTGTAAGAAACTACTGGATGTACATATCTTGTTTAGTTGCTATTTTGCCAACTTGTGTAACTGTTTGGGCACTACAGTTCTCCCTTGGGTAATGTTAATACTTGGAAAGAGCAAAGTCCAGCAAGATGGCAGGTCAACCAAGAGAATCAAGCTAGGAGAAGGATTTGAAAGAGCGAGGTACCACCATATGGTGCACAGAATCAGAGGGATATTTCAGGCGTTCAGTAGGGGTGTAGCATGATAGATGGCACAGAGCTGACCGTGGGAGGAAATCAAAAGGGTGACCAAATGCACAGGGGTGGCAAAGTATGGAGCACGAACAGAGAAGAGGTCGGTGAATGGAAGAGCAGAGCTGTACAGCACCTCGAAGGCGAAAGGTGACCAATTCAGACTGACTGTAGTCTCTTAAGACTACAAAAATAAATACAGGTTTGAAGAGGGTTTTTTTTGTTTTTGTTAAAGAAATAGCCCCTTCCTGCCTTGTGTTATACCAACCTTCTCAGCATTCCTTCATAAAAATATCATTGCCTATTCTGCAGTTCCTGCCATCTAAAACAGTTCTTCTATATTACTCCTTTTCATTTCAAATCTTAGTTGACGAACTTCTCATCTGTATGAGATAATTATTAACTCTCAGTTTCACACCCACCCCCTAGTTATATTTAACTCTAAGGGTATGTCTGCACTACGAAATTAGGTCAAATTTATAGAAGCCGGTTTTATAGATATCGGTTTTATACAGTCAATTGTGTGTGTCCCCACATAAAATGCTCTAAGTGCATGAAGCCGGCGGACCGTGTCCACAGTACCGAGGCTAGCGTTGACTTCCGGAGCGTTGCACTGTGGGTAGCTATCCCACAGTTCCCGCAGTCTCCGCCACCCATTGGAATTCTGGGTTGAGATCCCAATGCCTGATGATGCAAAACAGTGTCGCGGGGGGTTCTGGGTACATGCCGTCAGGCCCCTCCCGCTCCGTCAGAGCAATGGCAGACAATTGATTCGTGCCTTTTTACCTGGGTTACCTGTGCAGACAACATACCACGGCAAGCATGGAGCCCGCTCAGCTCAGCTCACCATCACCATATGTCATCTGGGTGCCGGCAGACGTGGTACTGCATTGCTACACAGCAGCAGCTAATTGCCTTTTGGCAGTAGATGGTGCAGTATGACTGGTAGCCTTCATCGGCTATCTGGGTGCTGGCAGACGTGGGGCTGCATTGCTACACAGCAGCAGCCCCTTGCCTTTTAGCAGTAGATGGTGTATTACGACTGGTATCCGTCGTCGTCGTACTCCAGTTCAATCAGAGGCACCTGGGCAGACATGCTTTGTCTCCTGGAGACTCAGTCCTGCCGGCAGTCCTATTGAACCGTCTTGACGATGATGGCTAGCAGTCGTAGTACAGTATCTTCTGCCAAGCACCCAGAAGATGCCGAGGGCTATCAGTCATGCTGCACCGTCTGCTGCCAGCTTAAGATGTAAAAAAAATAGATGTATTCATTTGCTTCCCCCTCCCTCCGTGAAATCAACGGCCTGCTAAACCCAGGGTTTTGAGTTCAATGTTTGGGGGGGCCATTCTGTGTGACAGTTGTTTGTGTTTCTCCCTGATGCACAGCCACCTTTGTTGATTTTAATTCCCTGTACCTGTACGCCATGTCATCACTTGCCCCTCCCTCCCTCCCTCCGTCAGTTTCGCGCCTTTTTTCAGACCAGACGCCATAGCACTGGGATCATGGAGCCCGTTCAGATCACCGTGGCAATTATGAGCACTATGAACACCACGCGCATTGTCCTGGAGTATATGCAAAGCCAGGACATGCCAAAGCAAAACCAGGACCAGACGATGAGGCGATTGCAGCGTGGCGACGAGAGTGATGAGGAAATTGACATGGACACAGCCCTCACACAAGGTACGGGCCCCAGCAATGTGCAAATCATGGTGTTACTGGGGCAGGTTCATGCCGTGGAACGCCGATTCTGGGCCCGGGAAACAAGCACAGACTGGTGGGACCGCATCGTGTTGCAGGTCTGGGACGATTCCCAGTGGCTGCGAAACTTTTGCATGCGTAAGGGCACTTTCATGGAACTTTGTGACTTGCTTTCCCCTGCCCTGAAGCGCCAGAATACCAGGATGAGAGCAGCCCTCACAGTTGAGAAGCGAGTGGCGATAGCCCTGTGGAAGCTTGCAACGCCAGACAGCTACCGGTCAGTCAGGAATCAATTTGGAGTGGGCAAATCTACTGCGGGGGCTGCTGTGATCCAAGTTGCCAGGGCAATCAAAGACCTGCTGATATCAAGGGTAGTGACTCTGGGAAACGTGTAGGCCATAGTGGATGGCTTTGCTGCAATGGGATTCCCTAACTGTGGTGGGGCGATAGACGGAACCCATATCCCTATCTTGGCACCGGAGCACCAAGCCACCGAGTACATAAACCGCAAGGGGAACTTTTCAATGCTGCTGCAAGCCCTGGTGGATCACAAGGGACGTTTCACCAACATCAACGTTGGATGGCCGGGAAAGGTACATGATGCTCGCATCTTCAGGCACTCTGGTCTGTTTCGAAAGCTGGAGGAAGGGACTTTCTTCCCAGACCAAAAAATAACCGTTGGGGATGTTGAAATGCCTATCTTGATCCTTGGGGACCCAGCCTACCCCTTAATGCCATGGCTCATGAAGCCGTACGCAGGCAGCCTGGACAGTAGTCAGGACCTGTTCAACTACAGGCTGAGCAAGTGCCGAATGGTGGTGGAATGTGCATTTGGACGTTTAAAAGCACGCTGGCGCACCTTACTGACTCGCTCAGACCTCAGCGAAAAGAATATCCCCATTGTTATTGCTGCTTGCTGTGCGCTCCACAATATCTGTGAGAGTAAGGGGGAGACATTTATGGCGGGGTGGGAGGTTGAGGCAAATCGCCTGGCCGCTGATTACGCGCAGCCAGACACCAGGGCGGTTAGAAGAGTACAGCAGGGCGCGGTGCACATCAGAGAAGCTTTGAAAACGAGTTTTGTGACTGGCCAGGCTACGGTGTGAAACTTCGGTTTGTTTCTCCTTGATGAACCCTCCACCCCCGCCAACCGGTTCACTCTACTTCCCTGTAAACCAACCACCCCACTCTCCCCTCCCCGCTTCGGGCACCGCTTGCAGAGGCAATAAAGTCATTGTTACTTCACATTCATGCACTCTTTATTAATTCATCACACAATTAGGGGGATAATTGCCAAGGTAGCCCGAGAGGGGTGGGGGAGGAGGGAAGGAAAAGGACACACTGCAGTTTAAAACTTTAACACTTATTGAAGGCCAGCCTTACGACGCTCGGGCAATCATCTGCGGCGGAGTGACTGGGTGGCAGGAGGCCCCCCCACCGTGTTCTTGGGCGTCTGGGTGAGGAGGCAATGGGACTTGGGGAGGAGGGCTGTTGGTTACACAGGAGCTGTAGCGGCGGTCTCTGCTCCTGCTGCCTTTCCTGCAGCTCAACCATACGCTGGAGCATATCAGTTTGATGCTCCAGGAGCCGGAGCATCAACTCTTGCCTTCTGTCTGCAAGCTGACGCCACCTATCATCTTCAGCCCGCCACTTGCTCTGTTCATCCCGCGATTCAGCCCGCCACCTCTCCTCTCGTTCATATTGTGCTTTTCTGTAGTCTGACATTGACTGCCTCCACGCATTCTGCTGTGCTCTTTCAGCGTGGGAGGACATCTGGAGCTCTGTGAACATATCATCCCGAGTCTGCCGTTTTCTCCTTCTAATCTTTGCTAGCCTCTGCGAAGGAGAAACATTTGCAGCTGGTGGAGGACAAGGGAGAGGTGGTTAAAAAAAGACATTTTAGAGAACAATGGGTACACTCTTTCACGTTAAATTTTGCTGTTCACATTACACAGCACATGTGCTTTCGTTACAAGGTCGCATTTTTCCTCTTATATTGAGGGCTTGCCGGTTTGGTGTGAGAGATCACTCACGCGGTGCCAGGCAACAGAATTCGGCTTGCAGGCAGCCATGGTAAGCCAGTCTTTTGGCTTTTTTAACCCTCATAACATGTGGGAATGGTTTCAAACAGTAGCGCCCTCATTTCCCATACCAAGGACCCGTTGGGTTGGCCATTTAAAATGGGTTTGCAATGTAAAAGGAGGGGCTGCAGTTTCAGGGTTAACTTGCAGCACAAACCCAATTACCCTCCCACCCCCCGCCCACACACACACAATTCTCTGGGATGATCCCTTCACCCCTCCCGCCCAACCACGTGGCTAACAGCGGGGAACATTTCTGTTCAGCCGAGCAGGAACAGGCACCTCTGAATGTCCCCTTAATAAAATCACCCCATTTCAACCAGGTGACCGTGAATGATATCACTCTCCTGAGGATAACAAAGAGAGATAAGGAATGGATGTTGTCTGCATGCCAGCAAACACCGGGACCATACGCTGCCATGCTTTGTTATGCAATGATTCCAGACTACGTGCTACTGGCCTGGCGTGGTAAAGTGTCCTACCATGGCGGACGGGATAAGGCAGCCCTCCCCAGAAAGCTTTTGCAAAGGCTTTGGGAGTACATGAAGGAGAGATTTCTGGAGATGTCCCTGGAGGATTTCCGCTCCATCCCCATACACGTTAACAGACTTTTCCAGTAGCTGTACTGGCCGCGATTGCCAGGGCAAATTAATCAGTAATCATTAAACACGCTTGCTTTTAAACCAGGTGTAATATTTACAAAGGTACACACTCACCAGAGGTCCCTTGTGTGCCCTCGGGGTCTGGGAGCACGCCTTGGGTGAGTTCGGGGGTTACTGGTTCCAGGTCCAGGGTGATAAACA